ATTTATCTGAGCTCATAGCGCGCTACGTATTAAGAACATCTCTTAATTTTCTGACTTTCGGAAAGTAGTACTTAATTTTGTTTCGGTGCATCCTGGTTTTACTTATCGAGGTTGCACTCCGCAGTTTTACTTTTTTATTAGGCCTAGACAAGTTTTTGTTTCTGACATACAAGAACAGTGTGGATTATTAAACTAGCTTTAAGAAACGGTATCGTTCGGTTTCAGAACATTTGTTTCGTAGCGTCAAGGGGTCACATTCACAAACCCGACACTGTAAACATTCACAACGCATTGGTGTTTCTCGTTTTTTCCTGTATATATATATATATATATGTATATATATATATATTCCCGTTTTTCTGGTGCGGTATGTCGTATAACATAAGTTATCGGGGACAGATCATCTGACTATGTGAACATTTGAAATATTTCTGTTAGATGATCGTAACTACCACAGAACACAGTCGATTCCTGCCTGAAATAGCATATTTTCACACTCAATTAAAATCACCAGTAACATGATCTGAGGAGAACTAGGTACCTCTCGTGGCGTCGTAAGCAATAAACACATATCTTACTTTTTCTAGTTTCCGGAGACTAATGTTTATTATTGTTTTGGAGCTCAAAACGCGTGCTCATTCCTGCCACGTGTTTCTTCTTTTTTTTTTCTTCATACCGTTTTTTTTTATTTTTTATCTGAGACAAACACGTGCGTATACCGTCGAACGTTCAGTCTAGCATCAAAGTAAACTAGATTTCTGAAAAAGTAATGTTCGGCGTTGTAAAATTTATTTTTCGTGGCCTACGTATTCAGAATCTCTATATCGTGAATGTGTTTTCCTCACCGCATTGTTTTGTTTTTTTCTCTCGTTTTCGCGGTAAAACACGTCAGCCTTGCCATGCTGGGATCAAATACGCCAGCGTCGGCAGTCACTTACGAAGGATTTATCAACGCAAAAATTTCGCCTCGCTATTCATGCGCTTCTTGCCGCTGTTTGTCAGAATCTCAATGACTTAGGTGCATAGTGAAAACGGCAAAAAAAGAAATAAAACGATGTCGGTCAGTGAACGGAACTTCCACGGCGGGGCTCGTCAGCGTGAAGAGCAAAGCCCAGATTCCGAAAAGTTACTGAACTTTCATATAAATACTGGCCATCAAAGACGGCAAAATACCGATGCCGGCCAGTTACTGGAACCTCCATGGAAATACTGTCGAGCGAAGGGATCAAAAACACGATGCCGGCAAGTCACTGTAACCTCTGCTGAACTGGCCAGTGAGTAAGACGAAACGCCCACGCCGGCGGGGCCGGTAGCTCACCGGCGCCCATGGCCGGGCGCCGCCATCCTGTTACAGGACCGGCCGGCGTAGTCCCCATACCGGCCGACGCGGTGTGCTATCTGGGTGCATGCATTTTAGTCAAAAAAAAAGAAAAACTGCTTGCTTTTTGTTTTGCAGTCTGTCTCATTATTTTGTTATTGCGCTTCTTTTAGACTTAATTTCTACTGCAAGATGATCGCATTTGTTCAAGTATACTCGTCAGTGCACTAGCTTTTTCTTTTGCTTTGTTTGCGGTTCATTGGATATCTGTAAAATAAACCTAATAAGAGTCCACTTAAGTTAAATCAAATCAAATCAAATATTTATTTTCCAGAAGCACTGGAAAGAGTCCCAGACAAAAAGCTGTTGAGACAGCTTGACTGGGTCTGGGACCCTTATTACATGGCAGCAGCTTGGTAGTGCGCAACACTCTCCTAGGGTAACATTTGATAAAACAAAAAAATCAAAATGAAAAACATCGAAACTTTATAAACATTATAACACTAAGTCAGGGAACAACGAAGATATCAGAGCGCAAGTCTCGTTTGCTAATCGTGTATATGTTTATGTTGTTTGTAAGGCATTTATTTAAAACAAGTGGTAGGTTGTAATGTAAAGCTTGTAAGTTGTAGTTCGTGCGGGAACAAGGGAGGACCCATGCTTCTCTGCGGCGTATGTTGACATCACTGCTATGCCTTACAAGCTCAGAAATAGTGAACAAGAAATCAATGAATAGTGTGGAGGAGAAACGAATGGAACAATGCAAACGATACTCATACATACGTTCAACCGGAATTATTTGATATTTTAAAAATAAAGGTTCTGTGTGGTCTGTGTAGGAAACATCAGCAATATATAGTATTATTTTCTTTTGCAGTAATAGCATGTTTTTAGGGTTTGTATTTGTTTTAGTAGCCCATACAAGGTGACAATAACTCAAGTGCGATTAAAATAATGCATAATAAATTTTAAGTTTAGTGTTGAGTGGTTAAACGTTGCGACAACGAGAAATACATACCAACGATCCCAGAAAGTTTAGCTGTTAAATAATTTACATGACAATCGCACGTCATATTCTCTGACAAAAATACACCTAAAGTTTTATGCTGGCTGACTGATTCGATTGATGACGTACCTAGAGAGAGAGTATAATTTATTGAAATGGGCTTATTTTTTTATCTGAATAAGATGGCTTTGGACTTCATTGTATTTACCTTAAGGCCGTTAGTATCAGACCACAATGCAAATTTGGTAAGAGTAGCATTGGCTTGGCATAACATTGTATCAGCATCAGCCGCAGAGAAAAATATACTCGTATCGTCCGCATATATAACAAACCGCACTTGGTTATCGATGTTTACTAGATCATTGATGTAGACGTTAAATAGAAAAGGTCCAAGTATACTTCCCTGCGGTACGCCACAAAGAACACTTTGGAAAGAAGAGAAAAAACCGTCAATAGCTACACACTGTTTCCTATTCGTAGATACGAGTGAAGTAAGGCAAGTGGTACATCGCGGACGCCATATCGACTAAGTTTCATAAGTAGTACTGTATGATTTAGGACATCAAACGCTTTACTAAAATCAATGAACACACCTAAAGTAATCAGCCTTTTTTCTATATTTCGTAATACAATTTCTTTTTGAGATAACAAGGCGGCTTCCGTAGATTTGTCTTTGCGAAAGCCGAACTGATAGTCTGTTAATATAGAATGGTTACAAAAAAAGTGATCGAGGCGCGTAAGAATAATCGTTTCGAGTACCTTAGAGAAGACAGGTAACACGGATATTGGCCTATAGTTACCCTTACAGAAATGTCATATCTTAACTTATACTAAGAAATACAGATATGGATATATAAGGAATTGGGCAGATATGGCCAGATATGCATAGTGAGGCTATATCTGGACTGATAAAGCCATATCTGCCCAATTCTTTATATACCCATATCTGCCCAATTCCTTATATACCCATATCTGCCCAATTCCTTATATACCCATATCTGCCCAATTCCTTATATACCCATATCTGCCCCATTCCTTATATACCCATATCTGCCCAATTCCTTATATACCCATATCTGCCCAATTCCTTATATGCAATATATGAAATTGGGCAGAAAGGGTATAGAATTGGGCAGAAAGGGTATAGAATTGGGCAGAGAGGCCTGGCAAATAGGGTATCCACCCATATATAGCAATTTTCACGCGATGCTCCTTCTAGAATCACATGAAAATTATTTCCATGGGGCAGGTACCCTATTTTCCACAGAAATGGGATCATATAATGCATTTCTATGAATATCCACGAAATACACATTTTACTGCTATCCCACACTGTGAAACGTGCATTTACGTAGTACAGAATATATACCCTTAGCGATCTCAGAGAGCAGCGAAATGTGTACTTAGTAAATATTCATAATAATCCATCTGCAGAAAAGAATTGGGCAGCTGACCCATTTGTCGGGCACACCTCATATATAGTTTGCAAAAAATCACAATATGCAACAAACATAGAACGCAACAAACATTGAACTTTATTTGATATTTTCAAAGCAAAGAGGACGCCCTGGCGCCTATCAAGATAGCAGCCATATTGATGATTGACAATAGTGTGGGATATAAGCGTGATTGAAGATATAATTTTGTTTAAGAGGCATTCACTGGGGAACATGACTGCAACTGTTATTAGATCAATTCAGTTGTGGAACTTTCCTTTACATGTCACGTTCTAAGGGCACACGCTCATCCTATTTTCAAAATTCTGAAATATGCATTTCAGCATGTGTAAATTATTTGGTGCATATGACTTTCTACTTGGATGAAACAACATATCTCCTGCAGGTCTAGGTTTATACGCATTCCTTAAAATATTTACCTTCAATCCACCTGGAAATATCGATATTTTCTGAAAAATTGGGTTCTGTCATATTATGCGACCCTTATTCACATATGAGGCAATTCAAAAATAGGATCCATAATGTCTTGGGTGTGAACGAGTTTCTGAAATTCTGAAGTGACATACCAGAAGTTAGAGTTTGCAATGATTTTTGACGGAAGCGAGTCACATGCAGAGCAAACTCTAAACCGAAACCTTGTGGCTGACCCTAGAAATCAAGGTAAATAAATGGTAAGCCCCAGCATTAACTGCAGGAAGTGAAGATATGTGCCCTCTCTAGATCCACATGAGGCTTAGTAAAAACACCAGTTTCGTTAACCTTAGCTAGTTTTAAAAAATGAAATGATAGGCATGGGGATGGCTCAGCAGACGTTAGATAAGTGTATAAACATCACAACAAGTTCACTAACTAATCAAATCTATTCATTCACTTAGTAATAAAGGCCTAAAGAGCTATGTTGCAACTACAGTTTTAAAGGGAAGCTACGGAGGTTCTTGAAAAAAATGAATTCTAGCGCATTTTTACCCCGTGAACCTGAACACCCAAACCAATTGCCGCGCAAGTATTAAACGCGACAAAACGCGAAAGACAGTTGTTGTATGGGACGTCATCGACGGATCTTTTGGCAGCCCAAGGCTAGGGAGGCGGGGCTTCAGCCCTATTTTGTAATTGTTTTATGGCTCTCCGGCGTGATTTGCAATGAAACAATTGTGATAACTGTTATTTTAAAGGCCAAATGAATGCAATTCAAGTGTTTTTTCCTCAAATGCAGAAGTGTCCCATCTTCCCTTTAAAGAGCCATCATTAATGTCTAACCTAATTGAAACAATTCGCAAACGCAATGGACTTTCAGATATTCATAGTTGAAATTATTCCTTTTTGTTGCCTCGCTTACGAATCAAGCACTGCAATGGATGCAGGAAGTTGTGCGGATAATGGTGCATAAAAGAGCGACATACTGTAAACGATTTATTTTTCGCAGGCTCAATATTTTCCGATTTAGGTGAAAGCTGAAGTTTTAGAATAATTGCGGGTTCTAACTTTTTGCGAAGCGGTGGAATTTCAATATAAATTCCAATGTGTTTACATTTTAGGGGAATTGTTCACGGGACCTATTTTTCACGAATTGTAGGTGATTCGCGAAAATTAGGTTCTCGCTAAAATTAAATCGTTTACAGTAGTCATTTCGGTCCGACCTTACTACCTTGGGAGTGTGACACTGGCGCATACACGCTGCTGAGATAGTGGCCTGATACCGAAACGACCACGCCGCTCTCCTGTGCATCATTATCGGTGCAACTTCTTGATCTCTCTCAATTTTTTTTTTACCAGGCTATGAAAGGCAAAATTTTAGCAATTAATATATGAAGGCTTGTTGCCTTCTCACAAATTTTATTAATCAGCTTTTAAGGGAACATGGGGCAATTGTATATTGGAGAAACACTTGAATGTGTTCATTTGGCCTTTAAAATAACAGATACCACAATTATGGCTCAATCCGACGTGCTGTGGAGCCATAAAACCTGGGGGTGGGCATTTGATCGATTACCCTATCGATTAATCGATTAATACTTTAATCGCGAATAATTTTTAACCCGTTATTCGGTAATATTTTAACGAACCAAAATAAAGCAAAAAGTAAACGCTTTCACCACGCAAACGTGGACGAGAACACGTCTATGAAGGGCAAACTTTATGTCAAAATTTAGCCTAACTGACAAGGTGCAGAGTGTTACACGTCTCCCGACCACTTCAATAGCATTTCAGTGCCCGTTTAGCGCAGCAGAGAGAGACTATAGTGTGAACAATCAAATGAGGTCGCTCTTGCCGGATAACATCAGCGAACTTTTTACCTCATGCCACTGGAGTAATGACGTGCGAGTGCCTCCGAACTGTTCTTAACCACATGAAAGTTGATTCATAATGAAACTTGTCTAGTAGGCCCTTTACCTCATGTTCAGCAAAGGCAGAAACAGAAAACAAATAAAACATTTTGACTTTTTAAAAATATTATGCATGGAAATTAACGAGGCCGATTAATATATTAGTTAATCGAATAAAGGTGTCGATTAACCGGTTTAAAACTCTTAATCGACGCCCAGCCCTAATAAAACCACTTCCAAACTGGGGCCGACGCCCCGTCTCCCTAGCCTTGGGCACGCAGCTAAAGCTCCGCAATGACGTGGCAACAATGAATGCTTATATTTTCTCGCATTTAACAATACTTGTGCAGTAAATGGTTATGGCATTTGGGTTCACGGCATAGAAACACTAGAATTCACCTAATTTTTTTTTCAAGTACCTCCATCGCTTCACTTCAACAATGGCTCTTCTAAAACTGCAGTTTGCAACATAAAATAAAAAGTTAAAAGAAGGGCTAAAACAGATTTGCTGGTATGTGTTTTTTTTTTTTTAAGAGTACAGCACTGCTGTTAAAATATGTCGTTGGGGCACTGGTGCAACATACAGCATCCATGGAAAATTCCACAAGTGAGATGACCTAATAGCTTACCGCGGTACTGCTGTAGCTGAAAGTAGGGAGTTGCGGCAGTTATTCATTCACCAGTGGAAACTTCGTCAAGACCAGGCGACACTTGTTGCTGCTTCTTCATCTCTGACCTTAGTTCTGATAGTTTCGTCCCCATTGAAAGAAGAATGACCTTTTCAGAATATTCCCATCCTTTCTTCTGTGCGACATCCTTTGTGTACGCTGCAAAGGAGACAAGCAATAATCAGCACATATACGTAATTGCCTAAAACCTAAAACTGTGACATATACTTCTCTGACATATACGTGTTATAATCGGTGTGGATTTTATACATGCGACGCCTGTTCAAAAAGAAATCTGACATCTGTCGGCGACATTCTATCAGAACCACAGTTACGTACGAACGGAAATGCTATATTTACCAATGTAGCCAACAAATAAAATAAAATCACAAAATAACATTTAATTTGCAAAAATTCAATAAAATCAAATAACAAGGCTGAAAATAGAAAATAAAATAAAAAAAAAAACATGATGTCACTGATGACATCATGGAGCTGGTCCCCGCCCTAATTACGTCCACAAATACTGAGCAGAGTTTCATAAACAATTATTGTTAATTGAAAAAGCGCTTTGTTCATGATCGAGGGGTCCCAGGTTGGAACCTTGCTGTCACCATTGTTTGTAATTGTTTTGTTGTTGCTGATTTCCGGATAAAAATGCATTACAGTTTTTGTGATTGGTTTGGCAAGGATATAATTAAAAATGCCACTTCGGAACCAAGCAGAAATCAGGAGTGTTGACTCATGCTGATGCTACACAAAGCAGACGATGAGAATGCAGCAACTTACCCAATATGGCAGCAATCCCACCAAAATGGAGCGGCGGCCGTTGCTCGGAGGGTCTGTGCATGCCCTTTGCCTTGTTTCCCTTGACAGAACAAACCAGCAGTGCCTGCTGCGTGTATACAGCGGTCAGCAGGCTACGGGCAGTGGCTGTCGCCGTCTTGCATGTTGTCTCGATGTTCCACAGTGAACCTTGCTCGACGAAGATTGAGGAGCCTGGCTGTAGCTCGACAACCTGCAATAGCGAAAAATGAAAATAAACCAGAATATACATTTTATCGCAGAAACGTTCCGCAGCAAAACAAGGTGCAAAAGGACGAAAGGAGACAGTAGCACTGGATGCAAAAGAGGGCATAAAGAAGATGGCAATTGGAAGGCAGACTTCCCAAAAGACGTGCATGCCAACATTTCCCCAACCAGGGTGCCTAGCAAATTATTTTATTTTTAAATTCCCTGACTTCTCCAGGTTTTCCCTGACAATCCCAGGTGAAATTCTTGACCACTCTAGACCACTTAATCTCCAAAGCCGCTACAACTGCCACGTCATGGCACGGATAGTATGGGACGGTTGACGGTCCAGCGTTCATCTCCATATTGCCGACGGGTGTCCAGTCAGGATACATTGAAATACAAACAGCGGAGGGGGTGACTCTTGGTGCTTGCTGGGTCACGTGGGGCAGCATGTTGCCTGGCAACTTTCCAGAACATGAAGTCGGAGCGGGGGAGCGTTCACTACCCACAGCATACTCTGCGAGTTCCCAGGCGACCTCCGAGAAGCCCAGAATGTTTTCAAAACCGCGAAACACTTGTTTGTATTTCATTATATCCTGACTGCACACGGAGCGAGATTAGCAGAATAAGGGCAGATAACAGCATGGTTACAGTAATTGGTCATGTTACCTGTCTTTCACAAATCTACCCGTATGGCTAACATCGGCTGCAACACATTTTACTGATTATTCTGAGGTTGACGATTATTTTCCTTAATTGTTGCTGGGTCGATAAACTCATCGAGGATGTATTAACACTTCCCTTACGAAGAGAAAAATGACTATTCTGTGGCTTTTGTTGGGTGAAACGACACCTGCCAACAAACTGCCGCCGACGTTCCGGGCTGCTTTTGCCGATCGCAACTTACAATTGAAATCTAACGACCTGACGTCACCGTCAGACCCACTGCTGCTATCTTATTCCAAGAAACTGACAGAAGATTCAACAGAGTTGCAAGATCTGCCATGCTTGCGAGTGCGTGGCCCTGGCTGTCATCAACGTCGGCGTGCCATCGGTTTTACAATGGGCTTAAAAATTGCTGCCATGCGGAAAGACGAACAATCAGAATAGAAACTGAAAGTAGAGTCTCCAAACCGCCTACCGACTACGCAATGTGCCCGGGAAGCTCCACGGAAGCTTTGTAATCGGTCTCCGTACCCGTTGATCTCCGTTCTATGGGCGCGGTAAGAGTTAATTGCCATATGTTTTAAGTATACTAAGCTGGAAGTCAGCACAGCATGTGCACTTACGCCTGCATCTTATGTTGTTGTCGCACTTCGCCTTTAGAGATAACCACTGTGCGAAGTTCAATGTTACCATTATTTTAGCAAGGCCAGAAAAATAACGTTAACAGAAAACATGGTGAATTGCTTGTTACGAAAGGGACTAAAAACAGAATTTTTACCGAATACTTAAATAGGCCTGTGGCTGTTTCTTTTGTGGCCCAACGTCTAAGGAATTGTAGAAATGGTGTTCCATCGGCCGTGTCTCCTGACTGTTCTTTGTCCAGATCACCTTGCCTTGCATGTTATTCATCTGTCTTAAATATTTCCTTTTAAATAAACTAATTTTGTTCTTTATTCGTGTATATTTCATCATTTTTATGCGGCCGTCGACGAACACCATGCCATTGATGGGGAGGGTACTATTGTCGCCACCAGATTCTATCCCGAAATTAGCGCGATTTTTACCTACATATGCAGTTTCCAAAGAGAAGTCCTGAACATCAGTGCACATGTCATTGCAGTAAGCACAGGAACAAAGTAGCAATCAAAAAGCAAAAACCTACTGCTCTCAGCTTTGGCCATTCGCACAACTTAATTAAGACACTGAATATTGTTTGCTCGTTGAAAATGCAGGATTCTGCTTTCGTGCTGTGAATTTTTTGCCGTTCAAGTGCTATGCAAACATCTGAAAGGCAAAGTATTTGAAATGTTAAAGCAGTGTCCTGCATCTTGACCAAGCAAACAATACCTGATGTTTTACTCTTACATTTCACATAGCAAGCGCGAACGGCCTGGTCCAAGTGCAGTCGGCCTTCACTTCACAAGTGCTACTTTTTTTCTGCAGTTACTGCAATGACGTGTAGTGGCGTTCAAAACTCCTCGCTTGAAGCGTCATATGGGCAGAAAGAGAACAAGCTGCTAGCAACATAGTATGTGGTGGCCAACAGCATACCACTCACTACCAGAGCGGCGAAAGTGGCATGGCGTTTGTTGCACCTGCGGCGAAAATGACACAACATAAGAGAATGTACAAAACGAGGTAAGGCAATCTGGACAGAGAGCAGCCATGATTCGGGGACGACGGAACACCGTTTCTGAAATTCCCCAGGAACGAGAACTGAAAGCATCTATTCAAGTATATGGGAAATAAAGCAAACTCCTCATCGCAAACAAATTAGCAATATTTAAAGAGATGCTGAGCAGCAATTTGAATTTCACAAAACAAGGCAGGAGCGACAGGCGGGGCACTACAAACCCCAAAACTTCATTCGTATAGCGATATTTGGAATGGAAGGCTCTATTTTTTAAAAAGAAGCGCGTGATCGAACAAGGCCAATAATACTTGTCGCGTCGAGATTCTCATCCCCTCTCCTCTTTACCGTAAATATTGCTAGAATTAAATTCCTGTTTCATGAAAAAATCATCTTATGACATGGTTGTCCTAACCAGACTGTTTAAAACATGTTTTTTGAGGCTGAAGTGGCCTATTAAGCCTTTTCTGAAAGTTCAGGGAGGATTAAAATAAAAATCACACTATAATCACATTGGTATCACTCCAGCTGTAGAGCAGTTGAGTCGAGGCCGGACCATAGAAAGCAGCAGAAGCATGTTCGGCCGCCCTGCTGGGTCCACGTGCAGCACTCCTCGCTTGTGGGGCTCTTGTAGCTGGCTGCTCACTGCTCCTTTCCACGGGGGGAACACTCTGACTGAGCAGTTGCATGGAGGCTGGACGACCGAAAGCAGCCGGAGTATGTTCGGCCTCCTTGCTGGGTCCACGTGCAGCGCTCCTCGCTTGTGGGGCTCTTGTAGCTGGCTGCTCAATGTTCCTTTCCGCGGGGGAAACACGCTGAATGTTACAGTGGGCAGGGAAGGCCCTCGTGTTCTCGAGAGTTGCTCTACAGATTGCTCCAGAACTCCCAGGAACAGCAAGATGCAGTCCAGAGGATGAAGCCGTCACCTCCCCTTTCGCAGCACCTGCACCAAGCCCGTCATGACATGGGGTCTCGCGTTTCTCGGTGTCACTTGCGACCTCGTACTCCTGTAGCACAAGGTTCTTGCCGCAGGTCTGGCAGTGCAAGTGCTTGAGCAGCTTTTCTGCTGTTTTTAGGTAGCCGTCCAGCTCTGGATGCAGTCAGAAAAGACATATAGCCATGAACATTCTACTGTCTTGATCTCCTGTAACATGATCGTCGTTGACCCGACAGCACTGTTCACTTAGGGTTCTTCGTTTCTGGGTTTTATATATTCCAAACATCGGGCGGTAAGAATCGGTCGCGTTTTTAGGGTGATGATCGAGAAGAAATTGGGTTTTTGCGAGAACAGTTCTGGAATTCGGGTGATAAAGTCAACAGAGTATATGATATTGCGATGAGCATGATATCTTTCCACCTTCCGAGCCATTCCGAAGTGAATATTTGGTGAGGTCATGGCTAAGGTTTATAACCATCTAACAGGCGACTCAGGAAACGCCTTCGAAACAGATCCAAAATTGGTCCTATATTGTATGAATTCAGCTGATTTGAAGGATGCTTTGTGGAGAGAAATAGGATTTAGCCCGATTTTCACAAGCCCTGTTGAGGGGGAGGGGGGGGGAGGGGGGCAGAACACAGGTAATATCTGGTTTTCTCCGAAAACAAAAAACCCTACACATATTTTGTATGAAAAGGAGTATATGGTGGGATGCAGCCTATGCGTTTTCCCTTTCTTTTGATGCTGTGCCATCGCCGCAACTTGTTATTTCCACTGGTGAACAGCGAATTAAACGACAGTCGCTTGGAGAATTCAATTGTCAGGCAGACGCAGTGTAAACAATAGTGTGTAAGTGTAGGGCATTCTATTTGTTTGCACGCTAATAGGAGTGTACAGTTTGCATGAAACCTGTCTAAGGTACTCGAGCGATGCACTTTGTACTGCGCGTGCAACATCTGCCGCTGTGTGCTGGGCTTGAAACAACGTGCCCCTGAGCATGCGCAATCATTGTGCAGCGCTTGGCAGGTGCAAATGTTAGCACAGACCCTTCTGCAGACTCTGCCGGCCACCAGAGGAGCGCTTGGTGTCGCAAAGCTGGGAAATCAAGGCGCCCAATCTGGCGACCCGTTTCCACAATGGTGCGGCGCCGGCGGCGCATGCATTGTTGCCACGCCGAGTCCATAGATTTCGCAGCCTGGCGGCAATAAGCACTCCTCTGTCGGCAGGTGGAGTCTGCAGAAGAGTCTGCGGTAACATTCGCACCTGTCAAGTGCTGCACAGCGGCTGTGGATGCTCAATTGCTCACTATCTCGGGCCTAGCGCGCCCTGGCAGATGTCGCACGCGCTATACAGAGCACGCCACTAGAGGGCTATAGACAGGTTTTGCGCAGACTGTGCATTCCTGTTACTGCACAAACAAATAGATTGTCATACACTACATTACACTTTTTACACAAAGCATGTGCCTTACGATTTAATTCTGTGCCTGAATTCTACGAGAACTGTCGGGCTCCTCACCCATGGAAAGAACAAATCGCAGCGGTGGCACAGCAACAAAACAAAGAGAAAGAACCACGAGACGACGAGACGTCAAGAAAAACCATGCAAGGGGCGTGGGGGACCGAATGGACGATAGATGCAGGGTATTTTGTGTTGGGCGGCTGCTTCTGCCATCGAGGTCGCGCATGCTCAATTACGGTACTCAGTTTAGTTTTGGCTCTGAAAGGCGCCAAAAATCCTTAGGTGCAGGCTTGGTGCAGATTAATGTAGCAGGATGTAGCAAGGTTAGCCCCTTGGCGCAGTTTAGTGCAATTACTGCAGCAATCACATCACTGCACTCTATAAAACGGGGAGAGCGTGGGCAGCACAAACCAGTGCAGTAGGTTTGACAGCGTTCTACAATATGGATGAGACGGAATATGCGGAGAGCAAGTTCGTCTGCTTCTTGTGCAGGGGGTAGCGGTGACGTCAGAACGCCGAGCCCGAATTGGCTGAACCCGACCCCCTATCTGAGCGTCGTCTGCTCCTTTGCAACGTCGTCGGCTCGCAAAGTCGTCTGTGTCTGTCTTACCTTTCCTGCGACTTTCGAAAGTCGAGAGGCCAGAGGCCAGGTTTACAAAACGATCTTACGCCAAAAATATGCGTAAGACAAAACTTTAGAACAAATTCGTATTCACGAAACGAAATTTTCGTATGTTTTGCGCAGGTTACAACGAACTTCTACGACAGCTCCGAAGCTGTCTTACGCACTTCTTACGATCAAATGAGCATGGCCGACAGCGTCGCAACGACCAACGGACGTTTATTTTTCTACATGCGCTTCTCACGCGTCCCGACTTCAAGCAGCAAGAAAAAAGTAAAAAGTAGTTGAAACAGACCACAACGAACAAGAACGCTGGATCCACAAACACCCGGGAAAAGCTCCAACAGCCACGATTACAACAAACGCGACCAAGCGAGCTGCGCAGTTAGGCCTAGCAGGCACTCCGCGACTCGGCGACCGTCTGCCCACGACCGGCTGGCGTGCTGAATGGAATATGCCCGCACGACCCTTGTGAACCCTTCCCGTCTTATACTTTGATCGCGGACCTCAATTTCAGATTAAGAGGTCAATCTCTTACTCTTGTCATCTCCTTGTTTTCCGAGGCAGCGGTGACTCCCGCCGGTAAAAAAGCGGTGAATCTCCGACAGACGCAGGAAAGGTAAAGCAGCCATCGCTTTGACTAGCAGACGTAAAGCAGACGTAAACTTTGCCAACCCGCCGACGCCGTTAAAGAGTGAGAAGTCTCGCCGCACACGAAAGGAAGGAAACAGTATTTGGGAGGGAACTTGCGGACACTAACCACCGTCGCCCTCTCAGTTCTTAGCAAACAAACCTCGGCGCCTCGGGACACCTCGCCAGTGAGTCCTTGACTTCCCTCCTTGATGCGCGACTGCTAGTTGCTAGACAAAAACAACGTACCGCTCGAGTTATTTCGTCTGCCCTCTCTGGATCGGCTCCCGAAAGTCGCCGGAAAGGTAAGACAGACGCAGACGACGTTGCAAAGGAGCAGACGACGCTCAGATAGGGGGTCGCGATCAGCTAATCAGGGCTCGGCATTCTGACGTCACCGCTACTTCCTTTCTCATGCGCAGAAGACGAAAATGAGCCCACTTGTGAAGCGTATAGTCTCCAGTTACAGCCTCGTCCCACTAAAGCGACAAACACCGATTTTTGTCCAGCGACACCACAAAGTTCCATGTCGCTGATACTGCCCCACTGTACCGACCAACAACCGCGACAAACGATCGACGACAGACGAGTTCTTTTCCGTCATCGGACTTGAAGCGCAACAAGCAGTCCCACCAAGGAACATCTCTCAAAGACAAACTTATCCTCATCGCCCGCTTGTACCTTCTGTTGCCTCTCTTCCCACCCTTCTACCCTCCCTCCCATTCCTCCCGTGGCTCGCTCCGCCACTCGACCTCAAGGTTGTTCTTCAAGATGTCGAGGTGTACGTTCCTGCATTAGGATGGATACACCAATTATTTGAGGACTGACCAAAGTAAGACCGCTCACCACGATTCAGGGCACGACGTTCCGCAACAAGCCATTCCGGCAAACGAGGGAAAGACTTGTCATCACGTTCTGTAACAATTGGGATGCCGCATTGTCCCCCAAAAAGCGCCTGCCCTCAATCATTCGGATGTGAAGTTATAAACATAATCCGAATCGTGGTGAGCATAATCCGAATGTCGCTCATTGTCGTGGGTCGCTGTCACATGTCGCTCGTTGTCGTGGGTCGCTGTCGTTTGTTGCTGTTTGTCGCTCTAGTGGGATGCAGCTATTAAAGGTACGCTAAAGACTCTTCGGAGATCATCTGTCGATGGCGATAACTCATTCTACGAGCTCCAAGCATCTTAGAAATAAAAAATTATGCTCTTGCGACATCCATTTCTCCACTAAAAATGCAATCAATGTTTCGTGACGACGGGTGCACGTCAGCTGAATTCTGTGCTCCAGATTTCTTGCGCTCAAAAAGGGTGTGGCCCGAACTTTGATCACATTTTTAGTAGGGCCGGGCGTCGATTAAAAGTTTTAACCCGATTAATCGCCACCCTTTCATCGATTAATTAATCGATTAATCGGTCTCGTTAATTTCCATGCATATTATTTTTAAAAAGTCAAAAATTAATATTTGCTTTCTGTTTTTGAATGTGCTGAAGATGAGGTAAAGGGCCTAATACACAAGTTTTATTATGAATCAACCTAGATGCGTAGCTAAGAACAGTTCGAAGCCACTGACACATTATTACTTCAGCAGCCTGAGATAAAAGGTTCGGCTATATTATCCGGCAAGAGCGACCTCCTTTGATTGTCCACACTATAGTCTCTCTCTGCTGCATTAAACGGACACTCAAACCCTATTGTAATGGCCGGGAGACGTGCAACCTTCAGCACCTCGTCAGGAGTTACAAATCTTCCCCCTACAGTTTACTTCAGTCTAAATTCTGACCTAAAGTTTGCCCTTCATAGAGGTGTTCTCGTCCACGTCTGCGTGGTGAAAGCGTTTACTATTTACTTTATTTTAGTTCGTTAAAATATTACCGATTAACCGGTTAAAAAAATTAATCGCAATTAAATCATTAATCGGTATGTTAGTCTATCAAATGGCCAGCCCTAATTTTTAGTAGGGAAATAGGCCTGGCAGAAGCATAATTCTTGGATCTCTAGGAGCCTACAGAATAAGTTATTACCATGACAAACTATCTCAGAAACGTCTTTAGTACACATTTAAAACAGGTACACTTAAAAGGTTGTGCTGGTTGGGTTAACTGTCACACCCAAACTTACTTCGATATTTCTTCAGTTCAACTTTCAATTCTTCACCCTTTCTTTCAAGAGATGCATTTTCTTTCAAGCTTGCCTTCCTGTGCATCTTCGATGTCCGCCAGGAGCTGCATGGCTTGCTGCTTTTTTTGCGATTTTTTCTCTCTAGACACAGAGAGAAAATGTGTAAACATACAACAGGTGCACTGTTTTATGCAGTAAAAATTTGATTATTCTGCAATAAGTGACATTCACTTGACGTCACTCGCTAGGTTCGCTGGCATCGCCCACCATGGTCGCCATCTTCAAGGTCTCTTGCTAGCGCGAATGCCATCTGGCCGGACCTTTTGAGCATGGTTTAGCAGTATTTTACAATTTTAAAGGGTCTTTTTGACCGAAACTAGGGGTTATTCTTATACTTTGGTACTTTTGAAGCGCCGTGGGAGTATGGTTTGTGTGCTTTAGTTCGTTTTTGTCGCTATCGGACTCGTTTACCGCCGCCGCGTTGCTCCCTCGACTCCATGAAGCGCTCCGTGTCGCCCGCCGTGCCGACGGCGGTAGCTCTTGCACGAACTAATTTTTCTACTTTGGTGCTTTTGTAGCACGGTGTGATTTCTTTGTTTTGTTTTGCTAGTTTCTTTATTGTTTTTCTCTAGCGGATTTTCTGTACTACGGCCGTGTAACCGTGTTGCTCCATCGCCGCTGTGTCGTACATACGTCGTGCCTTCGGTGTTCGTTCCTGTGCAGAAACATACCGTGCGGCTCACAGAGTGCGCAGCTTATGAAAAATGCGGCGCATTTTTCATTAGCCCAAGCGATTTAAAAACCGCATGTAAGCGATTTGGCGAGCAGGAAGACAAGCGACGGCGACCCGCTTCGCTGTCACTCGGTCACCCGCGCCACGAGGCAAACCGCATGAAAGCGACGGGAGCACACGACCAAGGCGATGAGCGCCAAGTTTTTTAGAAATCCCAAAACCGAGCTACGCGACGAGTGACAGTGAAGGGTGAACCGCATGTAAGCGATTTAGCGAGCGATGGCGACGGGAGTCGGCGACGAGCGACGGAGATTTCTCGCGGTCGGTCGTCGCGTCACTCGGTTTTTGGATTCCAAGAAAGGGTCGCTTATCGCCTTGGCCGCTTGCTCCCGTCACTTTCATGCGGTTTGCCACGTCGCGCGAGTGACCGAGCGACAGCGAAGCGGGTCGTCGTCGCTGTCTCGTCCCGTCGCTCGCCAAATTGCTTACATGCGGTTGTCTTTACACAACGGTACTCGGCGGCAACAAGGAAAACGGCCCGCCGCCGAGATCAACTTTTCTTCTCTCTTCTGTTCAACGAAGCTTCAACGATATGAAATTAGCACACACTAGCAGCGGACGACCGCGCAGCACCCAAGCCAGTCAAACCGCGACCTCGAAGATGGCGGATCGACGGTGGCGCTCCCTGGCAAAATCGAACCTGCAGGCTCAGTGAATACCACCTATATGGGTCTTCATGCTCACAACATTTAATAATGTGTGGTTGAAACCGCAGATAGCCATATCATCACTGATGTGTGTGTGTGTGTTTGTTTGTGTGTGCGTGTGTGTGCGCGCGCGCCTGCGTGAAAAAATTTTTTTTTTTTTTGTCTAGACTAGTTTTTATAAGAACTAAAATAGTCCTCATAGCGCCGTCCGGTTGGAGAAAGCGGCACAATATGTGTATGGGCGCACGCCTTTCCCTCCTCACCTGCACACCGAACGGCACCACAAACTTTTAAGTGCAATAAAGTACTATCGCTATCACTATCACTGCATCGTCTTCCCTTCACCAACACAGTCTAACAAAGAGATAATACCAGCAGGGATTTGTAAAGCATTATTTCAAGAACTCATTTCGAGGTTAAATGCAAATCGAGTTAAAGGGATGCTGAACCGAAATGTGGATTCCACAAAACACGGCGACAAAAGCGTGCAACGGGATGCTACAAACACCAAAACATCACTCGTACAGCAATATTTCGAACGGATGACCGTATTTTTCAAGAAAAGGAGGAACATTTGACAGATATGCTGACGTCTTGTAGAGTCGAGAAGGAAAGAGAACAGCCTCGCGTCTCCTCTGCCTCGCCGCCTTGCGGGGGCAAAGCGAAGGAAGGAGGAAACGAGATATGGTTCACGTCCCGCGCCTCGTTCATTCTCGACCACTTTTTCCAAAAATATGGCCGTCCATTCGAGAAATCGCCTTACGAGTAGTGTTGTAGGGATTGCAGCGCCCGCCTACATCTCCTGCATTTTTTTTTTTTTTTAAATTCAAATTTTGGTTGATTATCCCTTTAAAGCTGCTCAATGTAAAAGAAATTGTGACATACATTTTTTTTGGACTCCATCGTGCCCAATTTGTTGTCTTCGGCAATCATCTCTTCCATCGTTCGGATGAGCTGATGTTTGTCCTCTGAAATGCACGAGACGGAAAAATATGTGGGGTGTCCCAGACGACTTGCACCAAACTTTAAAAAAAAAAAAGAAATCGCGCGCTCTGCAGGAGTGAAACCTGATGTTGTTAGCATGGGATATAGAAATGTGCACAGACTTTTTTTTAGGAATTTACTACGGTTGATCGAATGCCGTTTTGTCGAAGCATGTTTTAGAGAACGGGCACCTTTTATCGAAGCACGGTTTAGAGAAAGCAGAGCCTCAGTTTAGAGAAATGTTGTTTATCGAAAAAGGGACGCTATTTAAAAAAGGCTTTTCTACTTCGCGCGTACATCACTGGTGCGCGTGCTAACCCAAGCCGAGCCAAGCCCCCCCCCCCCGCTGCGCGGCGGCTCATCTCTAAACTGGGTTTCTCTATAAAGGAATTCGATAAACTGTGGTCGGTAAAACGGCGTTCACTAAAACGAGCTTGTGTAAACCACATGCCTCCGTTTTTTTAGTGCTTCTGGTTAGTTAGGTATTAAGACTAAATAGCTAGGCCGATGCGCACCTTCTGCCAGGAAGAAGGTCCTCCCCCAAGCCCATTCAGCCTTGCGCTCTTCCCTTCTCTTCCGAAAGGAGCGGCTCCAAGCTAGTCCCCGCCAAAAGGAGGCCGCCTCTTCTCGTTTCGGTGGAAGGAAGAAATCAGGCGCAGTTTTTTCCTCTCTGCTTGTTGGTCGACCCTTGAAATTGCGCTAAAGAGGTTCCTCAGATTGTACGTGTCGCAGATACGTCGCGAAGACCGAACCGACGATGAAGCCTCTACGGCACACGGCCTCGGCGGCACATGCCGCCCGACCCGTGGCGCGCTTTTGGAAGATTAGGCCTACCGACAACTACGGCCCGCGGTGCTACTCCGGTGACGGAGCCCCAACAAGCACGGCAGCCTAACCACCAAATAAGTGTAGTACACGCCAGCAGGTATAAAATCGGTCCGCGTACACATTTCTCGAACTAGTAGCAGCAAGCACTTGATAACACGAACAAAGCAAAACCGCCGGACCTCCTCCAGACTTACCCGATTTAGCGATGAGCTTGGCTTTGAAAAGTCCTTTGTCGCGCCATCGGACTTGCACTTCTGAGCCTTCGCGAGGATCTCGATCCAAGTGACTAACGATGCAGCTCATTTTCATAACGTCGTACGCCCTTTCATTTTCAAAGTATACGAGACCGTGCTCCACCATTCTGAAGTTGAAGAAAGCCCGCTGTTCATACCAGACAGCCACCGTTGCCAAATCCAAACGGCCAAACCACGGTTTAATGGATGGATGGACGGGTAATAGCGGCGGCAAACGGCTCTGAGCGGCGGGAGTGGCGGCAGCGGCGGCTCCAACGAGGTAGAGGGTGGCTCCAACGAGGTAGAGGGGCTTAGAGCGATAAACCGGGGTTCCGGTCTGCACTCGAAAGTGACCCCCATAAGGAGGCTGCCATTGTACGCAAATTTGACCACACGTCACATGACAAAACCAAATACGCGACGTCACAGGAAAGATGGCAGCGCCCATGCAGCGGCTGGCCCCAGCGGGGCCGGAGCTTGTCGGATGCTTTGTTGGTTGTCGTTCGTCTCGGCGAGTTGATTTCAGACGCGGAAGCCGTCATATGAGGCCGGTCGAAAGCGAGTTCAGAGTTCAGCGTGGTGTTTGACGTAGGTATAACGTGAAAATACGGAGAAACGGTGTGCATTTCGCTGGTGACCGACCGGGATATTGCCACGGAAGAGACAATCTGACCTACGTTGCTCGGACCTCGGATTGATTCGGATACCGCTAGGATAAAATTTAAGGCGACGTTTCTGTGCTCTCGTTGACCATCGGAACCCTCGAGGTTTGCAGTGAAGCGTGTGCAATATATTTGGATACACAGTTTAGCGACGGGAATTGCGTGAGTCGTGCAAGGCGGTATGCAATCGTGGTGCAGCTTCGATCAAATGACAGAGGGCTCACTTCGGTTGTGCGGCGCACCGGAAGGCTGCCTTGAAGCTGGTAGTTCCCGTGCCATGCTGAATGATGCTGTGCTGCTTACAAATTGTTCCGGCGTAGAAGTGCACTTTCACGGAGCACAGGTGTGCGGCGCACCGAAGAGCTGCCTTCAAGCTGGTAGTTCCTGTGCCATGCTTTAGGTGATGCTGCGCTGCTTCCGAAATTGTTCCGGCGTAGACGTGCACTTTCACGGAGAACAGGTGTTGCAGTTGGCATTGATCCCGCTGGTCTGTCGCACGTTCCGTCAACACAAACGTTTCATCCACACTCGTTACGCGAATTGCAAGCTGTCCGGACATTTCACCGAGCGTGTTACGTACCCAGCTCACGCCGATTTGTGGCAACAGTCTGCAGTGGCTCATTACCAGAAAAGTGGTCCCACATCCATTTCGGTTCAGTTCGTCCACGGCAGTCGCCAAACCCCGATGGAGAGGATTTATTCGGACAGAATGCCACTAAAGCAATGCAGCTTCTTCAGTGGTCAGGATAGATTCTCTTCTGCTAGTTTTGTTATACTGTCACAGATCCTTGTTCCAGTCCTATCTTCTATCAATATTCACTATTCTGGGACACTGCAGGTCATGCTCAGCTGTAATCGTATGTTCTGGTGGAGGTGCTGGGCACTTTACCCGTAGCCCTTCACTCTGTGTGAACCCGGCGGCTCTTCAGCCGA